CTACAGGATTGCAGCACCACACTCAAAACTCTGTTTATGAATAGTTGGGTGAATTTGAATTTGACAAATTTACTAGGCTCTGGCCACAATTACCAGAGTCTCGCTTTTCTATTTATAAGTGATTGTGATGGTCTAGAGTCGTTTCCCCATGGAGGCTTGCCCACACCAAATTTAGTAGATCTAACGATAGTGGATTGTAAACATCTCAAGTCCTTACCCGATCGGATGGATCTACTTTCGTCCCTTTCATCACTGGAGGTGTATAATTGTGCTTCATTAATGGAACTCTTTCCCCAAGAGAATATTCCCCCAAATCTGTCTGACCTCACAATCAAAAATTGCGGGAAACTAAAGCCCCTGGGGGAGTGGGGCCTACACAAACTCACCTCTCTTGAATACTTCAGTTTTGGTGGATGTCCAGAGCTGGTTTCCTTCACTAACAATGCTGACGAAGAACACTGTGTGCTTCCTCCATCTCTAATTTATTTGATTTTGAGAGACCTGCCGAATCTGGAAACCCTATCAAAGGGCTTCCAAAGCCTCACCTCTCTTCGAATTTTATCCATCAAAAATTGCCCAAAGCTTGAGGCGTTGCCTATGGAAGCCCACCTTAAAAAGCTTGAGAGGCTTCACATTAGAGGCTGTCCACTTCTTAATAAACAGTGTTTGAAGAACAAAGGAGACTACTGGCCCATCATTGCTGACATTCCCTTCGTCCTAATTGATGGCCGTTCCATCTATGATTCACGTCCATGAATTCAATTACACGAGGTAACAGATTTAATTCGATACCTATGAATCTCAACATCATTTCAAGCAGAACACTTTTCGACATTTCATCAATTATTTTTCAAATCAGAATGTGAATTTTCTGTAGCAAATAGTGAATCTACACTTTCTGTAACAGCTATTCAAGTGTTCATGCTACTCTGTATCTCATATGTGTGCTTCTGCTCTGCAGTATAAATCAATATCAGAGCCGATATACCAACAATCAAGTAATTGATTGGCTACGACGTTAAAATCAGCCTCTCTTCTCACCTTGTATGTGTTGTATTAACAGTAAAATTCTATCAAATAGATAAAATTGGAGCGATAGTTGTTTATTCAATTAATCACCTTCAACTTGGATAGAATACGTGATTAAATTATTAATATTTTGCTTCAATCTGCTTTAGCAAATTGGAAATGCACTGATTCGACTTACTCTATGTTTATGCATTTTTGAGTTTTATGTGCGGTGTGCTTTTTTTTTAAACCTTTCTTTTAGACCGGAAGTTCTTACAACATTTGAATGAAACTACTATGTAGGCATTTTCTGATTACTTGTAAGAACGCAAGATGGGATGAAGGTGCCTCTTCAATTAGATCTTCAAGTAAGTTTCTGTTTTGATTTACTTTTTGCATTTGCACTTTAAGTGTTTGTGTAAAGGCCACAGTAAAATTAATGCTCGCCTGCTATCACTTAAGTTGATGTCTCTCTGTATGGCATCATATGAGCCAACAGGTAGACGGGTTCATCTGGCTCTTAAGAGAGAGATCCCGACAGTCATTGACAACTTCATCTCAAGACAGCTCCCATTTCCATCCTTGTCATACAACATGGTTCATTGCACTCAGTGTAGCATTGGCTGGGATGACAAAGGTACGATCCTCATTATGGTTTAGGATTTTGTTTTCCCCCCTTAAATCAGCATTTGTTCGTCAGATTGAGTGCAGTGTTTTTTATTGATGTTTTTCCGAGAAAATTACTTCAACAGTTAGCCTTGTATGTATTGGTTTAACCTTTTGTTTTGGTGTGCGTGCACACGCGTTTTTATTTCTTTTTTGTTTATCACATTTTGTTTGATGCTATAGTTATTTTTGATTGATTTTTCTTGCAATGGTAACATTAGGCTCGCTGTAAGGAAGGCAAAGAAGGAAAAGAAAATGAAGGATCCACACAAGCCAAAGAGGCCTCCAAGTGCTTTTCTGTTTTCATGTGTGTCCCATTTGCATTTTTTTTTTTGTCTCTTATCTTTTCTTTCTATTTTTTCTTATTGATTATCTTTTTATGCCGTTTGGCTAAAGGTTAATTAGACAATTAATTTGTTCAATGTTGTTTGTGTTTTCATTTTTCAAGGAAGGGATTAGGAAACAGCATAAGGAAGAATATCCAAACAACATATCAGTTGTTGTTGTGAGTTCGTCATTTTTTTTAATGCTAATTTTCACTTGGAGTGTTCATGACAATTTTCTTTATGATTTCTGGTTTTCCTTTTGGGAATAAATAATAATATAGGTTGGAAAAGCTGGTGGAGATAAGCGGAAGTCCACGAGTGATGAGGTAATTATATGCAGTCTAAGATATTGTTTATATTTTATTCTTCTTCTCGAGAAATTTCCTAATGTTATGAAAATAAGGAAAAACCTCCCTTTGTGCAAAAGACAGATAAATGAAAGGAGGAATATGAGCAAAAATGGAATACTACAACAAGAATTTGGTAATCCATCTATGA